TGGCAGTTTTGTCCTTGGCTAATGTACCGGTCTGTGTAAGAGCACATAATTTAGTCCATTGGACCGAAGTAGCCGTAGATAAAGATGCTGCTCAACAGCATCAAAAAGAGTTCTAATAGCACCTCCAGCACAGTACTTGCTATTGTCCCCTTTTCCACAAGAACCTTTAGTGAATCAGGAGAAGTCAGAGTCCAGATTACCCAGTGGGATTTCCTGTAGTTCATCATCAGGAGTCAGGAGGTGGTCCGTCAGCGCTGAGCAATCATAGGTAGTTTGTCAGTGCTGGAGAGGAGAAGAGTAGCCAGGTTAAGGGCGTTAAAATGTCAAAGAATTATGGGAGGTGCAGTTAATGGAAGGACTTCATAGGTGGTGAGACGATTGGCTGGAAAATGTTGACATGATGAAACTTCAGGAGAGATTCTCCTGCACGAGGAGCAGAAACGATTACGGGAGAGCCCTCAGTGGTTTTCCCGCTGGCCTTCACTGGGAGGGCCGTGGCCTCAGGGGCCCCAGGCAAGCCTCGTGCCTTTGTGCCCCTCGGTCCTGTCGCTGACTATTCTACACTATGGATCAGTGGTGTCTCCGTTTTTCTGGATGAGCACCCCAAGGGCGCTTCCTCCCTTTTTATAAGAAAAAAGAAAGGGAAAAGGGAAACTGATCATCGGGATGTTCAAGGGCAGGTGGGTTCATCAGTGGACATCATTCAGTTCTTCCCATAACATTGAGTCAAGGTTGCTTCTAAACACATGGGGGAGAGGTTTGGTCATGAAAGAGAAATTGGAATCCAGCTTTGGCAATAACAGATCAGTTGAGCAAACCTCATAGTTAGTGCTTAGTTTTTGGTCTGGGGAAACTTGGGGTACCATGAAGTCTATTTGGGTCTAGATATAGTCCTTGTTCTGGTATCAGATGCTCTGAACACTGAACTTGGATTGGGCAAACTGCAATTTTTCATTTCTTTTTTCCCCCCAGGTTACATAATGTTTTTTAAAATTTTTTTGATTAAAAAATCTTTATTGAGGGATAACTTACATACTGTACATTCACTCACTGTAAATGTACACTTTGATAATTTCTAGTAAATTTGAAAAATTGTATAACCATCACCACACACCAGCTTGAGAACATTTCCATCCTTCCAAAATGTTTCCTCATGTCCATTTGCAGCCAATCTCTACTCCCACTCTTAACCTCAGACAACCACGAATCTGCTTTCTGTCACTACAGATTTGCCTTTTCCAGATATTTTATCTTTAAAAATTTTAATTGCCACCACATTTTATTTATCCATTCACAGTTGTTGGACACAATAGGAACAGACTAGGAATAATCCAAGTGTCCAACAACTGTGAATGGATAAATAAAATGTGGTTGCAATTAAAATTTTATTTGGAAAAGGCAATTTTTCTTCGGTGATCTTCTGTCCCTTTAAAAGGAAGGGCAGGCTGTCATCCTGTGAGGAGGCCATCATGGTCTGTGTGCAGGTTGGAAAAGAATTTCCAAACATGAGGCAGAATGAAAAAGGGAAGAAGCTTATTAGAGTGGGAAAAGCTGTTGGAACTGCGGGCAGGCTCCAGGGGGAAGCCGAGCCCTTTCGCAGGCTGAATTGATGTGCTCAGTGGTATCCGACTCTTTTGCGACCCCATGGACAGTAGTCCACCAAGTTCCTCTGTCTGTGGGATTTTCTAGGCAGGAATACTGGAGTGGGTTTCTGTTTCCTTCTCCAGGGGATCTCCCTGACCCAGGGATCAAACCCAGGTCTCCTGTGTCTCTGGCATAGCAGGTGGATTCTTTACTGGCTAAGCGAATGGGGAAGCCCAGGTCAGTAGCTAATTTTTACAACCTGGAGATGGAGAAAATTCCTACTGGAAAGGTGCCATAGGTGATGGTTAGGATGCTACAGGGTGGATAACAGGGTGGGTATTTACCTAACATGGGGTCAGGGAATGGTCAGATTCAGATCCAGAGGCTCACAGCAACAGTGGCTATGGGGCTCGGTTCAGTTCCAGATATTTTTTCCCTGTGACCTTGGTATAGAGCTCCACATCTGTGACTTTGGTATAGGGCTCTACAGAGGCCTGGTGAGGAGAGCAGAGAAGCAATTCATCCACATACGGCAACAAAGTAGAACCTCTGGGGAACTTTATATTATCCAGATCAGCCTTCAGGATTAGAACAAATAAGGACTCTCAGTACAACCCTGAGGCATGACTGTCCATGTGAACTGTTTCTCTCCTTAAGTGAATGGAAAAAGGTATTTTCTAGCTTCATGTACCGGAATACTAAAGAAGGCATTGCAGAAATCACTTATAGTAAAAATAATTTCTTTTCAGTGGGAATGAATGTTAATAATGCATGTAGATACGGAAAGCAGGGTGTCCAGGGATAATAGTGTTGTTTATTGCTTGAAGGTCCCGGACAAACCTCCAAACTCAGTCCTTAGGCTGTCTCACCTAAAATGGGGATGTCACAGAAACTAGAACAAGGGCTGGTAAGGCCCTGACACTTGGAATCTTCTGTTACGGGATTTACGCCTTGAAGGGCCTCTTTACTCGCTGCCGCTCTTGTTCAGTTGCTAAGACAGGTCCAACTCTTTGTGACCCCTTGGCCTGCAGCACACCAGGCTCCTCTGTTCTCCACTATCTCCTAGACTTTGCTCAAATTCATGTCCATTGAGTTGGTGATGCTATCTAACCATCTCATCCTCTTTAAATGATTGTCTGGAAATACTGAGGGGTCTATTTGAATTTTGATGGGAGACGTCCTGTGAATTTTGCCATCAGCAGTTGGAGGTTTTGCCCCTAAGAAAAGTGGTCGCTGACTTAATAAGAATAAATGCTCAGTGTTTAAAGCAGAGGAAGTGCTAATATTGTCAGAAACAGAACAAATAAAAATGTCAAAGCATCATTTAATTCACCTGGTTGGCTACTTTGATGATAACTGTCAAAGTCTAGAATCATTTTTCCCCTTTGGGAGAAAGAAATTCTGGCATGATACTTCTCTGAAAAGTCTTGGCCTAATAAGTGGATAGAGGTAGTGGAACTAAGGGGAGAACGGTAGGTATCTCTCCAAGGGCTTAAACAAAAAGGGAAAAATTCAGAGACAGGAACCTCTTGAGGCTCATTAGAGATCTACACTATTTGAGGCGGGGGCTGCTTTACAATAGCAGGCTTGAGCACTGCGAGTGTGGTTCTGGTGTCAACTAGGACTGGAAGAGATTCATCCCCAATCTGGAGAAGTGTTCTCCAAGGCAAATGTGAAGAGTGCCTGTAGTTCTTGGAATTTTGTCATTGAGAATTGGGAGACCATTGGAAAGGCTGGCTGCTTAGAGGGTTGAAGGTACCAAAGCACTTAAATTTGTGACATTCCACTCCCCCTCCCCCCGCCTCCCTGGCCGTGTCCTGATTCGGCAATAGCAGAAACTAGAGGTGTTTTGGTTCCATTTAGGAGCCTTCATATACTGGAGTCGAAGATTAAGAATTTTAACATCTTCTTTTGAGATGACTAATCTAGAGTGCAAACGGACTCATTTGCCGGATTAACTAAATCTGCAGTGGACATAGTTTCTTGGTCCATCCTGGTCCTTACTGGAAGAGAAAGATCTTGGTTCAGCCCATTTATAAACACTGAGTTAAAAGCCGCTCCGGTGGAATTAACATCTGAAGGAAGATCAGAATTTTTAAGTCAATTGTAATAACCATGAATAAGTTCATTAGAGCTTTTGTGCGTGCAAGCCTGAATTTTGTTGCAATCAACAGCATTTGGAAAAGCCCAGAAACTGCTTGATAAAGTCCCCTAGCCATTGCCTACACCTGTTTGTATAATAGAGCTTCTCTAGTGGCTCAGATGATAAAGAATCTGCCTGCAGTGCGGGAGACCCAGGTTTGACCTCTGGGTATAAAAAGTTGGTAGACTGGTCTCCCGGCTGTAATTCTAGAAACTTTTCAGGGCTGTTCCTATTAGCAGGTTTCATCCAGTGTTGAGCCTGGCCCTCCCGACAAGCATATGACTAGCTGATATGAATCAGAGAAAGGAGGTTGATGAGTTTGAATGACTGTATTCAATTCCAGGAGAGAGGAGGCTTCCTTCCTCCTGCCCGCCTCCGCTCTCATCACAGGGCACGAGAGCGCCCCCTGCTGGTCTCCCGACTCTAACTGCGGTTTCTCTTCACTGTTTATGGGACTGGGCGGTGGTGGTGAAAATCCAGTGCTTAAAATCCCCAAGCATTTAACTCGGCTGAAATTAGGCCCTCATCTTTGGAAATACTAGTTATATTGTCAGACGTGTTTGTGATTATTTTGTGGCCACTGTTGGCCCTTGCTTTGTGCCCTATCAGGACTCCCAAGAGGTCTGGCAGAAGTTGGTGACAGCACATTTGAGAGGGTTTGACAAATACAATTCTGTCTACGCATTTCACCTTCTTTGTCTCCCTCCATGGCCCTTATAAATTGGTTTTATTTTCTGTGACTTCCCATTGTTATCCGCACAGTCCTGAGAGACAGCTTCCCCTAGCGGCTGCTGCTATATATATAATTTCTCTCTGCATAATTTATGTTACATAAATGAATTGCTCTCTGTATGATTCTGACCAGACTAACTGTGATCCTGCTCACTTACCTGTTCATCAGCAAGTCTGTCTACACGTCTGCACATCAGGTCGCTAGGCAAAGGCCTGCTTTACCTTCGCCTCCCGTGTAACTAAAGTAGGGCTGGTTTCTGTGACTTGAGCTGTAATCTACGTATGCAATGATATAGGCAAGTCCCTAGAAGGGGAAAGGGCTGTGACCATATTCTACACAACCACAAGCCCCAGGCTGCATTTTCTGATTCTACAGCCTGAGGAACAAGGAAGAGAAGGAGGCCCTGAGGAAAGCTCTTCATAAAGCCAAGTTGTACTAATTATCTTCACAGTTCTGCAAAGTGCTCATCAAAACCCGCCTCTGTTGTACCAACCGTCTGGGCTCCGGTTATCATTTGCCAGCGGTTACCCCACAGGAGACATGGAATCAGCCCCCCAGAGGTCGGGTATCTTCCGGTAAGGAGTTCCCCATGAAGCCTGCCTCCAGGGAAAGCAGTGTAAGACACAGGCAGAATACCAACAAAGAAATCCCATATTTTAATGGGGGAGAAATACCAATAAAGATTTGAAATTAAATTGAGTAATGGCAGCAACAGGGAAGCTTGACATCAGTAGTAACATTAATATTGAGCTAGAGAAGAGTAAAACGGAATAGGGGGATGATGAGATGACAATTGTACGTGGATTTATGAGAACTACTAACAAAAGATGGCTTTATCATCTATGAGGGTATTTCCTTATGTGATTGGGAATATTGCATTTTGCCTGAGCGATTTTTAATTATATTTTTAAGTGAGAAGTTACATGTAGAGTGCTTGGCCTGATGCCTGGTACTTCGTGGCCCCACAGAGATGTGGGCTATTCCGTGGCATCAGTCATTATTGGTGGGTTCTACGTTCTTTAAAAAAAAAAGTGTTAGTGGCTCAGTCATGTCTGACTCTTTGCCACCCCATGGGCTGTAGAATCAGGGGATTCTCCAGACAAGAATACTGGAGTGAACTGTCATTTCCTCCTCCAGGGGATCTTGCTGCCCCAGGGGTGGAACCCAGGTCTCCTGAATTGGCAGATGGATTCTTTACCACTGTACCACCTGGGAAGCCCATGAGTGTGAGGATAAATTCTTATTCCTGTGTGTCACTGAATTTGTGCGTAGCTTAGTAAACATTCTATTGTCATATACTTTTGAGAATTGCTGCACAAAACATGCTTCATTTTGGAGATTTATAAAGCATATTATCACACTAAAGTATCCGAGAAATTATTTAGTAAAGACAGTTTACATCATTTAACCCAGTTTCCAAGGCATCTTTGAGCACTAAATCCTTTTTTGTTATGTTTAAAGTAAAAAAAAAAAAATTAAATGCTAGCTGGAATTTGACCTAATTTTTTTCTGTTTAAGAGAGATATTTCCCTTTGTTGAGGAAAACATCTTAAAGGGCATCTGGATTATGGAATTTAAGAACCTCTAATGTATGGTCTAAGTGGAAGGTATTTGGGTATTAAAGATTTAGATTATCATGCATAACAATATACCAAGAATTCTGAGTGTTCTCTTAGTGGATTGGATTGGATTGGGATTTGGAAGATGGGGGAACTGGGAGAAGACAGATATAAATAAAAGATGATCTCAGTAGAGAAAGATATGGGTCATATGGTAGCAGGCAGGTTTCAGGTCTGGGTGGGGAGCGGCCGGTGACTAATTTCTTGCGATGGGCATGACTGGGGGATTTGTAGCACAATGACAACAATTATTTAATTCTAATTTTCTCCCTTTTCTGTGTAGTACTATGAACCTAAGTTTCTTGCAATAAATTATATTAAAAATCCGTTACCCAAACAAGCACACCGTGTTGATATTGTTTAAGAGAGTGCAGGATGAAGAAAACAGGCCATGCTGTACCCTGGTGTGATGTGGGTGCGAAGTAACGGTAAGTGGGTGAGAGTGTAAATTACACTTGAGCGGAAGCAGGAAAGCAGAGCCTCACGAGTGCAACTGTGAGCCCGTGCCCGTCCCTGGAAATTCTGGGGGGAGCTCTGGACCTTACGCTGCACAAAGGATGCACAAAGGGTCAGGGGCGTGGCAGAGATTTTAGCCCAAGCAGTTGTTGGCACAAAGACCCGTGTGCTTCTCTACATTTTCTAGATTATGTAAGCAGGAACACTGAAGCCACGTGACCGGATTCTGGCCACTGGGATGTGGGTGGGAGGGAGGCAGAGCAGAACTGGTCCTCAGCGACATCCTTGGTGGTCTTTCCCTGACTTCCCCTGCACTAGCAGTTTTGATGTCCGCCTGTTCTAAATGGCTTAGCTGCAGGGCAGATGAGAACGACTCTACCCACACTGGATTTTCCATGGGTAAATATGAATTTATTCTGTTAAATCACTGTGATTCTAAGGTAATTTGTTAGTACAGCATGACCCAGAGGACTCACCTCTTCACCCAGTGAGCTCTGGCATGGATGTGTCTTGTGTGTGGTCCTAAAAATACGTTGCCTTGGGCAGAAGGGACTGTGGCTTGGGCAGAAGGGACTGTGGCTTGGGCAGAAAGGACTGTGGCTTAGGCAGAATCCGTTAGCAGCTAGTGAGCCCAGGGCAGACTCGATTTCCGGCCCACTCCCTGGGTAGCTCTAAGACGGTGGGCTTCTCTGCCACATTTCCTCATCAGGGACAGTGGGCAGTCTTCTCCCCCTTTCAGTCCCACAGGGATCTTGTGACGATGAAGGGAGCACTTTGAAATGGTTAGAGCTACTCTGTGAGGATTAGATCTGATTGACTTCCCTCCGTTTTCTTTTCCTAAGTGGAGGGCAGGGAAGCAAGATAATGGACTATCCTTAGGGGAGTAAACGGCCCTTGTTAAGCCTGTGCCCTGGAAGCCGTTGGTCTCAACCCCTCTTTTCAAGCACACATCCTAGCACCACTGCTAATTTGAACTCTATTCGAGACTGAGAAAGAGGAAAGTGAGTAATACCGGTTCTCTTTATTTAAAATTTTGATATTTTATTCGTTATAGATTTTTGCATTGGAATTTACTTTTTAGCTATATTTTATGATTGTCAGTCTTGTTTGCTAAAGGTTTGGGTGCCACCTTAACTCTGGCATCCGAGGTGAGTGCCTCACTCCTCACACTAGTCCTGGACTCGCCTAATACCATCCTGTACTTCTGCCACGGGGCCTCTCCCTGTCCCAGGAGAAGTCCCTGGGCTTTCTGGACCCTGTGAAGTTGCTCATGTTGTCCCCCTTCCTGAAGAGTCTTGCCCATCATTCTCGTACCAACACTTGCATCCAAACTGCCTGCTGAAATCCACCTCCACTGGGAAGCCATCCCTGATCTACCCCAACTGTGAGCAACTGTGCCTTACACTGACTCCCCTTGGCACCTTATTTATGCCTCTCTTAGGAGCATAGTACTTGTTACCCGTAGGATGAACAGTTATGTAACCTACTAGGTTGCCTAGTCCTTGTAGACAGCCGTTGTGTTTTCTCTTTGAGAGGGATTTGTTTCATTATGTATCTCCTGCTCTTCATTTAGAATGCTTAGCACAGTTATGAATCTATGATAGAGGTGGTATCATTTTCTCTTGGTTCTCATAATTGTTCAAGAGAACAATTATTTTGTAATTATTCTGTTCTTCCCATCTTCCTTAGTTCCTTTTCTGAACTCAAACATCTTGAAATTCAGTGACTAAATCAAAATGCCTCTGAATTTGGAGCTAAAGAAATTCTGCAGTGTTAAAGATGCAGAGAGTTGGCAAAGGCCATGCCAACAAAAAGGATGTGCCAATTTCTCCTCTGGGCAACACGCTAGGCTTTTGTTTTCCATGTGATTTCATTTGTTTTTAAAGGAAAAAAAGGGAGCAAGGGTGGGGGAAGACAGTGAAACCCCTGACTTCCAGACAGGGCCAACTTAGAAGCCATGATATATCTTGGTGAGGTCACTGTGTTGAGTCCCCATGGTGTCTTTCTGAATAATGTGATCAAAGCCTCGTGTTTACAAAACACCTTATTCCTTCTAGGATGTGGCCACACCGATGAGGGCACAGTTTCTGACATTGTTTTGACTAGAGAAGCTAAAGCCAGAGATATCTCACTTCTACAGGGACCGTGTAGAACTGGGATTCAGGCTTTTCAGACTCAACTGAGTGGGTGTGTTGAAGGGCTTTGTGAAGCTGGGACTGGGACCAGGAGCCTTGCTATGAATCTACGTGAGAAATAACTGCTTTTCCTTAGAGACCAAAGCAGCTGTTGACTGGGGACTTCAGACTTCCAGAGACTATCAGTGTCTTAACCAAAAGAGATTGATTTGCACTGGAGGTGGGAGCCCAACAAAGAGGCTTTTCTCCAATCTTTCCTCTCCAAGTCTGGAACTGAACAAAAACTGGAATGAGGCGTATATAATGAACCAGGGTTAGCAAATCATGGAAACAGAAGGATTCAGGGAAGAGAGAGAAGAAAGTGCTTGACGACCAGAAATAGCAAGGAATTTGAGGGTGATGCAAGCAGGGACCACCTTTCAGGCAGCTACGACATGACTGTCCCCAAGTTGATTCAGTGTGTGTCTGTGAGTGTGTGTGTGTGTGTGTGTGTGTGTGTGGAGAGTGTAGGAGGAGGGGGACGGACACTGAGGCCTGGAGAGAGAAAGTAATTTGCTCAGGGTCATCACTAAGCAGGTTTGGGAGGATAAGATCCACCAGACCCTCTGCACCCCAGCACAGTGGTCTCTCCCCAGACCCTTAAGATTCTCAAGCAGTGGAAGATAAATGACTTTTTAGAGACAAAGGAAAAATAGTGAAAAAGAGAGACGAGGACTGAAAGGAAAAGGTGAAGTGGAATTCAGGTGAGGAAACTGTTCTGGTCCCCTTGGTTCATGCTCAGATCAGAGCACCAGATCCGATTTCTTGGATTCATCATTCTCTCCAATACGTCAGTGCAACGCTGGCCTCGCTGCCAAAGTCTAAAGCTTCAAAGATGATCAAATACCTTCTCTACTCCCCTGCACTGCAATTCTGCCAAAGGAATTTCTGTCCATTAGCACAAGAGTCTCCATCAGCCTTCAGATACGGAGAGACTGCAGAGCTGGTTTTCATACTTGTCTGCATAAAGGCAGACATTTTCTGGGTCCTCTTGGGCTGCTGGAATCGACTTGTGATGCATGTAAAATCCTGCTTTAAGATAAATAGTGCTTCTGTGTGCAGTTTGGTTTCTAATGGCAGTTCCATTTTAGCTGTGCAATCTTGGAGGCAAGATGGAGTTACTTAAACTCTGTCTCAGTTGCCTCATCTGTGAAGTGGGGATAATAAAATTCCTGCCTCATAAAGTGAATGTGGGGATTAAGTGACTCAATATATAAACCACTTAGAATAGTGTCTATATATGTGCACTCTGTTATTAAAGAAAATATCTGTCCCTTCAAAACCTATTTTTGTGCCCTACAGCAGTTCCTGCTCGCTAGCTGTTTTACACATGGTAGTGTACACACGCCAATGCTCCTCTCCCACTTCATGCCGCCTCCTCCTCTGATATGACCCAGAGGAGAGGGAGGGGGAGGTAGGCTCAAAAGGGAGAGGATTTATGGATACATGTAGCTTATTTATGATATTGTACAGCAGAAAGTAACACAACATTGTAAAGCAATTATATTCCAATTAAAAAATTAAAAAATAGCAAAAAAAAATCTATCTTTCGTAAGCTAAGAGGATCTAATTAAGACAACAGCTTTCTGGCAGGTAAGCACACTGTTATGTTGAGATTGGTAGGCTAAGTCCAAGGATGGCTTATGATCTCTGCAAATATTCATCAGTTTTATTGGGTTCTTAAAACTTTAGCTTTTATTTTTAAATATTTTCATAAAAATAATCACTTGAAGATCTGCACAATGTCTTTCTCTCTGCAGTGTGCTTTATATCTCACTGATAACTTTGCATGTTGAGGTTTACCGTGTGCTGAGCTCCGGGGCACATACACTGACCAGGGAAGACAGTCTCAAGGAGATTTCCTGCGGGAAGTAGGCTCTGAGCTGGGGTCTGAAGGTGGTGTGAGAGTTGGGCAGGACCCTGAGGATGGGAAAGTTAAGATGCTGCAGCAGAAGTGATGGCTTGCGGAAAGCGCAGAGGTGTGAGTGAAGGTGGGGGATTAGAGAAGCCGCAGGTAATGCAGGTGGCTGGAGAAAAGGGTGAGGGTGGGCTGTGGCTGCGGGTGCCAGGAGTGAGACGTGAGAAAGAGGCTCGCGGGAGTAAGTAGGGGACCTCATGGAGGGCTTTCCCCGACACGCCCAGGAGCCTAACAACATCCTTCCCTGACGGGGCGCCAGGCCTGGAGTTCTTAAATCAATTATTGGCTGCACTGAGTCTTTGTTGCCACGCACGGGCTTCCTCTCGCTGTGGCGAGCCGGGCAGTGCTCCCCAGGCGTGGTGCCGGGTCTCTCACTGCGGGGGCTCCTCTTGTGACAGAGTTCGGGCTCAGTAATTGTGGTTCATGGGCTCCGTTGCTCCGTGGCAGGCGGAATCCTCCCAGACCAGGGACTGAACTCATATCTCCTGCTTCGACAAGTGGATTCTTAACCACTGAACCACCAGCGAAGTTCCACGTCTAGATTTTTTAACAGGGGAATGAAGTGGTATCATATTAAAGTCTTAGAAGTGTCACTCTGGCTACACTGAGGAAGAATTGGCAAGAAGGGGGCCCGAGGGCAGGGGCAGCTGTTAGTTACAAGGCTCTTGTTTTGATCCTGGCAAGAAATGAAGAGGGTTTGAAATCAGAGAGGAGCTACGGCCATAGAGGAAAAAAAAGGGAAGGAGTCCTGAGATAGATATTTCGGTGGGAGGCAGGGCCCCACGCATCAACCCCTGTTGGAGAGACAGGGAACTTCTGGTTGAGTGGTTGTCTGGGTGCAGGGGTTCACACAGCCAGTAGGGAATAAAGGTGGGCGAACAAGCGCTGCTTTTCTGAAAAGATTCACCAGTACCGGTTTTCTTGACATACCAAGATGGCGCCATGTCACAGAACTCCCTCGGATGTAGGAGTTCAGACCAGTCCTCTCTGAAGCCCCCACGTAACACCAGGATTTTGCCCACAGCACATGCTCGGCACGGTAAACCAGGAAGGGACTGAAATCCCATGCGAGGCTGCATGACTTGCTCCTCATCCTCGCCTTCTCGGGTACCCCTGGCTTCACGGCAGGGGAGAAGCTCACCTTTGTGACGCAATTCCTCCTCGCCACCCTCACTGCCCGTCCTGAAGGGGCCCTGCCTCGCTTCCGCCTGCTCCTGTTCGGCCATCTGGTCACCCTATCGGGGACCGTGGGCCTCATCACCCTGACCCGCGTGGCTCCTCGGCTCCAGAGCCCCATGTACTCCCCTCTGAGTCACCGCTCGCTCCCGGCCGTCTGCTGCTCGTCGGTCACCGTGCGGCAGACGACGGCCGCCCTGCTGGAGCGCGGGGCCGCGCCCTCCCGCGCGCCGCGCCGCCCAGCTCTTCCTCGTCACCTTCCCGGGCTCCGTGGACTTCCCCTTGCCGGCCCTCGCCTCGCGGCCTGGCCGTGCGCCGCCGCGCTGGGCGTCTCCGCCATGACGCGGAAGGCCCGGGTGCGTCCGTGAGGGGGGCCCAGGTGGCGGGCGCCCGCAGCGCCTTGCTGAGGACCGGCTCGGCCTTCACGCTCTCCCTTTGTGGACCCAGTGAGATCGCCTTGGTTTACTGGGAGCTCCCACCTCTCTCAGAGAGGACCTGTGCGGACAGCTCTGCCCAGGAACGGGTAATCATTGTGTTTGCCGTTTCCGTCCTCCCTGCCTGCCTGGCGGCGATTCTGGTGTCCTGCCTGCTTACCGTCGTGGCCGTTTTGAGGATTCCCTCCGCGGGAGGCCGCGCCAAGACCGTCTCCTCCTGAGCCTCCCACCTCACTGTGGTGTCGCTCTGCTTTGCGACCCTCATCTTCACGTGTCTGAAAGATCAGTCCGGCCGGTCCTCGGAGGAGGACCGGGTGGTGGCTGTGTTTTACACAACGGTGATCCCCATGTTGAACCCTCTTATCTACAGCCTGAGGAACGAGGACGTGCTGGAGGCTCTGAGGAAAATTCTCAACAGAGCCAGGGTGTCCTAACCATCCAACTTGGAAATTCCTGAGAATCGTTTTCTGCGCAGTGCCAGCATTCTGGGAACTCATTTATTTATAGCATGCTCGATGTTATTTAAATGAGTATGTCATGGTATAAGGCATAAAAAAGAACCAGAACTTTTAGTTCCAGGGAAAGAAAAGAAGGAAAGGAAGAGGCAGCATAGGAAGAGATTGGAGTCAGAGCTCTAACTCCCAGGACAGTGACAAAAAAAATCTGAAATTAAAGCCTGTGTAATCTGTTCATTTATCCATCCATCAGTCCATCCATTAATCCACCTTATTCTTTTGATGCATTTCAAAGTGAGTGAGAGACATCAGTATTGATACTCTTCTATCCTGTATAGGCAAGAATGATGTCATCAGTTAGGATTCAACATGTAGATTATGTTTATATAAAAATGTTTTAAAATTGAACTATCAGTTCAGTTGCTCATTTGTGTCCGACTCTTTGTGACCCCATGAATCACAGCACACCAGGCCCCCCTGTCCATCACCAACTCCCTGAGTTTACTCAAACTCATGCCCATCAAGTTGGTGATGCCATCCAGCCATCTCATCCTCTGTCTTCCCCTTCTCCTCCTGCCCCCAATCCCTCCCAGCATCAGGGTCTTTTCCAATGAGTCAGCTCTTCGCATGAGGTGGCCAAAGTATTGGAGTTTCAGCTTCAGCATCAGCCCTTCCAATGAACAGCCAGGACTGATATCATTTAGGATGGACTGGTTGGATCTCCTTGCAGTCCAAGGGACTCTCAAGAGTCTTCTCCAATACCACAGTTCAAAAGCATCAATTTTTCGGCGCTCAGCTTTCTTCACAGCCCAAGTTGGTTTAAAATATTGTTAGCATCAGTTGTACAGCATAGTGATTCAGTATTTTTGTAGATTTTACTCCAATACAGTTCATTACAAGAAATGGCTATAATTCCCTGTACTATACAGTATATAGCCTCTGCTTATCTATTTTACACCTAGTAGTTTGAATCTGATAATCCCATACTCCTAATTTGTCCCTCCCCATTTCCCGCTCCCCTTTGGTAGCCATGGATTGTTCTGTTTTACATGTACGTTAATTTGTATTACTTTGTAGATTCCACATATAAGTGATATCACATAGTATTCATCTCTCTCTGACTTGTTAAGCATAATAGGTCTATCCATGTTACCGCAAATGCAGTATTTCCTTTTTAATGGCTGAGTAATATTCATGTATATACATAGAGAGAGCACATCTTTTTTTTTGTGCTGTGCAGCTCATGGGATATTAGTTCCCCAAGCAGGGATTGAACCCAAGCGCCTTGCAGTGGAAGCACAGAGTCCTAACCACTGTCGAGGAAGTTTCCATAGAACATGTTCTTAATTCAGTCATCTCTTGATGGGCACTTGAGTTGCTTCCCTGTCTTGGCTATTATAAATGGTGCTGCTATGAACACCGGGGTGCATGTGTCTTTCCGAATCAGAATTTTCAGTTTTTCTGGATATATACCCAGGAATGGAACTCCTGGATCATGTGGTAGTTCTATTTTTAGCTTTTTAAGGAAATTCATAATAGTGTTCTCCATAATGGCTCACCACTTTACATTCCAACTGATAGTGTACATCCTACCCAATGTTTGTTATTTGTAAGACTTTTTTTTAATGATAGCCATTCTGACAGATATGAGGTGATAGCTCATTGTTGAAATAAGCTCAAAATTGTTTAAAGACGAAATATGAGAATGGGAACCATGAAATTCCAAGAAGAGAACATAGGCAGAACACTGACATAAAGCATAGCAGTATTTTCTTGGCTCAGTCTCCTAAAGCAAAAGAAATAAAAGCAAAAATAAACAAAGGGGACCCAACTAAACAATGTTGGCACAGCAAAGTATACCATTGACAGAAATGAAAAGATAAGCTAGTGAATGGGGGAAAATAATTGCAAATAATATGATGGATAAGGGATTAATATCCAAAATATACAAACAGCTCAAATAACTTCATGTCAAAAAACCAAACAACCCAATGAAAAAGGGCAGAAGACCTCAATAGGCATTTTTTCAAAGAAGATATACAAATGAGCATGTGAAAAGATGCAAAATTTAACTAATTATTTGAGAAATGCAGATTATGTTCTTTGTTTTATTTATTTATTTATTTTTTTCTTTTTCTTTTTGGCTGCATTGTGCAGTATGCTGGATCTTAGTTCCCCAATCAGGGATCAAACCTACGCACCGCAGTGGAAGCATGGAATCTTAACCACTGGACCACCAAGGAAGTCCCAGATTATGTTAATTTTTAATAAGTAAATTAAGGCAGTGACTTGATAGTTCAGTTAATAGAGTGGACCCTGCTCTTAGTACTCTTCAGACTCCTGTCGTAGTCTCCCAGATGCTCACATCGATCTCCATGTGCTCCCAATAACATGTTTGTCACCACTGGAAATATGCCCTGTTCTTTCTTCTTCTTCCCCTGTTACAGCTCCCATTGCTCACATCATTTGCCCAAGAATCCACTTGGTGATTTCTTCCATTTCTACTGCCCATAATGGCATCTGCAGAATCTGTATCATGGATGTCGACTCTCTATGTTCTTAAAGCTTTTGACCTTGGGGAGGCAGAGCATTGCTGTGTTCCATGCCTGGGTGCGCAGAAGGGAATCTGTCTGCACTGGTCCTTGGGCTCTGCAGCAGCTCCACGTGTATCCAAAGCCTTGCAGAATCTGTTGGGTCTTGCTCTTCACTTGTCTGACTATAGGTACCTGAGTCAATTCCAAAGCACTAGGAAGGAACAGGCACCACGTACTTATTAGTCTTATACATTTTTCCTGTGATCCCCACTCTTGGAATTCAAACTCCTTTTTTTCTCCCTGTCCTTGGCTTCCAGATCTTGATAAGTTGGCTGTTTTGAGATATTAGTCTGTCATCTTCTTAGCCTGCCGGCATTCTGAATAAAGTCATATTTCTTGCCTCAACACCTCATCTATAGACTTACTGGCATGTCATGAGGTGAACTGAGAGAGTCTGGACTTGCTAACAGGACTCCTCCCATCACCCTTCTCAAGTGCCTCCCGACAAATGATTTCCTCCAAGGAGACTTCATATGATAAGCCAGCTTCTTCAGGAACCGTCAGAGAAGGGACTTGTTGGTATTATGGTCTCTCTTCAGGAGAGCACCCCACCATCCTTTGCCCCAGACCTGAGAGAGGAGTCCTGGGGCCCACACTGCTTAGTAGCGGAAATGGGAGAAGAAAAGCCACCACCTCTCCAGGGACAGTACACGAGAACAGGTGCTGCCTACACTGGTTGCGGCAGACCTGGCAACATGGCATGCTTTTCAAGGCACCAAGATGCGGCCGGACTCCCTCTTACATCTGCTTTCTTAGCTTCTGACTCCTTTGCTTAAAATTAGCCTGCTTAGCTTTGAGAAATGGACTGTTTCTTGCCATGTCAGTAAACAAATGATGTCACAGTCTCCTCCAGTGTGAGCCTGTGAGCCTGAGGAAACTAAGGAAGGAAAAGAATGCCTTCCACTAGCAGCCATCAGACTGCTGTCACTCCCTGTGGTGAGCCCAGGGGAAGCTCAGTATGTGAAAATACAGGATACTGGCCCCAGACAGCTGAGGTGCACATCAAAGGAATGATTTCTGTGAGCCCAGACTCTTGCATCTTCTCATATATAAAGAAGTGCTAAATTCCTTAACTTGGCCTATCTGGTTTTCTTTAATTTATGACAATCTTTTGATGTTTTTAGTACCTACACTTTGTTGCAAAACTTCTATATAACCTAGTTCCCCACCTTGCCCCATAGGAACAGTTCTTTCAGGCTTATATGAGTTGCTGTCTCCTGGGCTTGAAGTACTAAAATTCCCACTGAATAAAACATAACCCATCTTTTAGGTTGTTAATATTTTTTTTAAGTTGGCAAACTTTTCTGGAGATTGTAGGATATAATAGAAAGAATGCTGACTGGTGACTGCTGCTAATCAACTGTGTGTTCTTCCATAAGAGAATTCCCATTCTGGACCTCAATTTCTCCTTCTGCTAAATTGGGGAGAGGTTGGAATGACAGCATTTTGAGTCCCTTTATGATCTGACATTCTATATAGCCAGGCTTTAATTCTGTTCAAGTGTAAATGATTTTTACCCTTCAGAGAATCCACATTATGCATTGTCAACCACTTTCTTAGAAGAGGACCATCTCAGAGATGTCTCTGAGCATGAATTAGGATGGGAAGTGAGTGCCTGAGAACCAGGTAACTGAGAGATATGGAAATGGGTGTCAAGACTAAGGAAGATGGAATAGCCTGAGAGAAACTTTCTATACTTTACATGGGCATCTTATAAAAAAGTATAAAAATTCTGCAGTTCCAGAATATGTAAAGTGAGGGCAGAGATACCAAGATAAGCTGTTAGAGCAAGATGAGTTTTTCCAAAGCAAACTTACGGGGGCTAGGCTATCCTCTGTCTTCCTGGTTGGCTTAGTGGTAAAAGATTCTGCCTACCAATGCAGGA